ATGGACTCTGAGAAACAAACTGAGGGCTCTGGAGGGGAGGGGAGTGGGGGGATGGGTTGCCCTGATGATGGGTATTAAAGAGGGCACGTTCTGCATGGAGCACTGCGTGTTACACGCAAACAATGAATCATGGAACACTACATCAAAAACTAATGATGTAATGTATGGTGATTAACATAACATAATAAAATAAAAAAAAAAAAAAACAGTGTTCCGGCCCCCAGCAAACTGGTCGTTCGAGTCTACAGCTCCCACGTGTTCCTCTTCTCTAGACGCCAGCCCTCTAGCCGCTCCCGGCGGCCCCCCTCCTACGCCGGCCCCTTACCTCTGAGCAGTAGTGGTGATGGCGTCCACGATCTCTATGATCCGGTGCAGGGCAGAATCGGTGCCGATGGTCATATCGGTGCCACAGAAGTCATTGTCAATGGAGCCCACCAAGCCCACGATGTTCAGGTAGCTGGACTTGGTAGCCTCCTCCGCTGTGATCTTACCTGACGAAGAGAAGCAAACCAGGAGCCACCGGGTGAGGTGCCCGGCACACCGCAAGAGCAGGTGACTGGGGAGAGAGGGGCCTGCAGCCAAGGGGAACCATAAAGCAATGGCAGAACAAGGAGGGCAGAGGCTGCCCGTTCGTGTCTGGGTAACGATTCCCTCCGACGGGAGAAGAGGGCTGTGTGTGCACGCGCACAAACCATACTCGTGACAACAACGTCTCACCCGCTTTCTGGAGGTCATTCAGTAAGTCACTCCACTCGGAACGGAAGGTGTCAGCCCCAGTGAGGCTGCCATCACCCCCAATGACACACAGATTGGTAATCCCATGCTTCACCAGGTTGTGGGCAGCGCGCAGTCGCCCCTCTCGGTCCCGGAAGTCCTTGCACCGGGCACTTCCAATGACTGTGCCTCCCTGTGGGGAAGAGGTAGAAGTCAGCTCCCCAGAGGACACAGCCAAATTTGGGCACAACATGCTAAGATTCCCCCACATTCCAGCACTGATGGGCTGTCATAACCACGTGCCTTTCCAGGAAGTGCCCCGACATCCTTAAGAGTCATTTGTCCTTTCTAAAGCAGAGAGAAATGATGCTGGCTGAGCTATCACAGGGTCATTCCTTATATTCTGCTACACCTCTTGGAAGTCTAAGATCAACCCATTCCATTGAAGGCTTTGTCATCAAAGTGATTATCCTCAAGGAGAGCAAAGGAATACACCCATGCTGTTGGCTTTTGGACTCATCTCTTTCACACGTTCTTAGACGTGTAGGAAATAGCACTGGCTTCGGTCCTGGAAATTCTCCCTAGCAACCTGACTTTATCAGACTGCATCCAAACTATTCCTAGGAGTTCATCCCAGTGTGCTTGGTAGTACTTTTTCCCTCTTGAACTCACTGCTTTCTAACTGTAACCAGGCACTGCCAATTTCCTCTTTGCTCCTCAGGCTAGGGTGCTAGTAGAAGGAGACACAATACCCACCCACATATTCACAAGGGAAAATAGCTCTGAGTATCCCCAGGGGCTCGTAGATACCCCGAGAGAGTAAGTATACTTAGGGCTTTCACAAATCATATAAACTCCCGGCATCCACCCTTTGGGTGACTGGGGAGAGAGGGGCCTGCAGCCAAGGGGGAGGGAGAATTGAGGGAGAATTCTGGCTCATTCTCAGACCACTGAACAGCAGGCACCATCGCCTATAAAGAACCTGCACGAAGCTGCACACTAAATTTCTGCCCATGGATTTTTAGAGGCTCGAGGTAAAGAATGGGAATACAAATGTAATTTGTAGATTTTTCAGGAAATCAGAAAATAGGTATTTGACTTAGAGAAGGTATAGTACAAAGGGTTGTGGATACAATCAGCATAATTTTAGGGTGTTTTTGGAAACTCGGAAACACTGTATTGGTTCCTTCCTCCCTTAAACACTCTGGTTTCAGGTGACCTGATCACCATCACATGAGGACTGGCGGATTTCGGCTCTACTTCTGGCCCTGGCTCCAGTCCTCTGGTAAGGTTATTTTCATGGCCAGACCTTCCCCGTGACCCCACAGCAGGTCCTGCCAATGCACCGGCTCCTCAAGTCTTGCCTGCGACCTTTCTATAAAGAGCAAACTGTCCTGTGACCGCGTTCCCATCCCCAAGCCACCCTAGGAAAACAGGGTGATGTTTTCGAACTCAAAGAGTAAAGGGCAATCGTGGCATCTCTCTTGTCATAGAACCCTTCACATCCAGCCACATGGGGGGGGACTTGGACAACCGTGAGGCCAAACCATAGTGGGGTGCAAAAAGGACAGGACAAACATGGGACAGGAGTCCTCGGGAACATACCAGCTGCAGCATCATCGAAACGCTCTCCCAGGTGGCCTCCCTGATTTGATCTCCGCCATCCACCAGGCCTTGGTAACCCTGCGGGGCACATTACACCCATTCAGCCTCTGCTTGGCCAGTTCTCCCTAAACCCCCACGATTAAGACAGGATCCCTGGGAAGAAGTTCTCTGAGAATCAAGTCACCTTCTCCCATTACTGATTCCTGGATGCCCATGACACTGTCAAAATTAACACAGTCCAAGGAAGAAGATGTCAACTTTTCAATACCCTCTTCTAGTTTCTCACAATCTCAAAAGGGCAGGATGTCCTTTCTGATATTTCATCCTAATTCCTCTTCCTTCTGGCTCATCCCAAGTCCTCCAATCTGCTTCCCAGGGAACTAGATAACAGATGGCTTTGATAACAGTAGAGGGAAAAGAGAAAGGTGTTGGAGGGAAGGTGGGAGAGAAGTGGGACTTGAAAAGATAGAACTGGGGAGAAGGCAGATAAACCTTACAGAGAGAAGAGTGGACAAAGAATGAGAGGGAAGGGAGAGAAGGGAAGAGGAGTTAGAGCCTCAGGAGGTTCAGGAAACTACAGAAATCTGATGAGACTCTTCCCTCCAAAGGCTCTATCTCTGGATATACTACATTTTCTGCAAAATTCTCATTTCAGCTTTTCTCTTTGTCTTGGTGGAGGTAAGGGGAAGAGAAAGTTACTTCTTCCTTTAAATTGGGCACCATGAGGACCGAGTCTGCAGACCCCTAGATCCCGCCATCATGATCGGAGACAGAAGTGGCGGGGACACTCATGGAGACTGGGAGCCCAGACAAAGCATGTAACTGGGAGGTGAGGAAAGAAGAAGTGGGGAGGGAGGAGCAGAAAACAGAGAAAGAATGACAGAGAACGAAGTAGAGAACCAACCTCATGGACAAAGAAGACACGGGCACCAGTAAAGATACCAACTCGAACCACAGCCCTGACAGCAGCATTCATACCTGCAAGGAGGGAGGAAAGATGACAGGGAGAGGTTAGTCCTCAGAAAAGCAGCCTGGACTACAAGACACGACTCAGTCCTTTTCTTAGGCTTTTCTCTGAATCTGGAATACTCCTCTCCTCCAGGTCTTCTGGCCTCCCACTAACACTGAATTACCACGTTCAGTGTTTATGTAGCTCCAGATACCCCCGATTCCTCTCCCTTCCCCCCCAAAATCCCATCTTTCCTAAGACCTTTCCTTGCCAGGGCAATCTGGGGAATCATAATCTTGAATGCTTACTGTAGTGTTAGACACTGCTAAATGCTTGTCTAACCTCATCTCATTTAATCCTAGCCACAGGCCTGAAGCTGCCTCCATTTTAGATTTGGAAACTGAGGTTCAAAGAGGTCACGGTCACAGAGCCAGTCTCCCCACTGGGAGAAATAATTAGGACTAAAACTAATTAGGACTAAAACAGAGAGGAGAGCCTTTCCCCTTTCTCCCACTGAAGTATCATTCCTTTCCTGTAGCTACTCAGTGACGAGAACCATCTCTCCCATGAGTACTGTGGAGGAACCACCCTGAACAACACACAACACATGGTGGAAGCTATAAAGGCCCCCATATTAGAACCAATGTTACTGATAACTGCAAAGTAAGCAGAGCTTCCCTGGTGAGAGATGGAAGACATTCCTGGGTCTTGATCCCGGTAACCCCCTCCTGCCTTGTAATGGGAGGAGGGGCTCACAGTGATGCTCAAGGACACTCAGAGCCAAGATAGATCAATTTCTTGTGAACCATTTTAACTATCTTCCCTCAGATATGCCAGTCCATTTTTTTTGTTTGTTTCAATCTAAAATGTATTCCTATGGTCCTCAATCCTGCCTAGAGAAATATCATATATCAGTGAGCACTAGAGAAACCAGTAATTAGAAAAATCTGCAGCAGCAGACTAAAATCCATCATGAACTACTACCTGGAATGGAACAGAATCAAAAAGACCAGAATGTCTGTTTTTTTGGGGGAGGTGGGAGTGGGGTTGGTAATAGACGGCTATGCACGCCAAGTCAAATCAAAGGTCCATTCACTCATTAAGCAAATATTTACTGAATACCTACCATGCTCCAGGCACTGTATAGGCACTGGGGAAACAGCAGTGAATGATATAGTCTAGGGATACGAAGATAAAGGACTTGGTAATGGTTCTCAAGACTTGCGAAGAATATAATATGGTTACAACATGGATCCATATGAAGGAGGTACATACAAAGCACAGTGGGAACAAGGAGAAGAAGCATCTCAGCTTCCAGGAGGAAGTCAGGACAGGTTATACAGAAATGACAGCATTTGACCTGAAACCTAAAGGACAATATCCTTATAAATCTTTTTTGTAAGGTGGACACTTTAGGTGAGAGTGTTCTAGGCAGGAGAGGAGCACAAATGAAGGCAAGAGTCAAGAAACAACCTTAGATGGGCACCTGGGTGGCTCAGTCGGTTAAGCGTCTGCCTTCGGCTCAAGTCATGATCCTGGGGTATCGGGATCAAGTCCCATATCAGGCTCCCTGCTCCGCGGGGAGCCTGCTTCTCCCTCTCCCTCTGCCCCTCCCCTGGCTCGTGCTCTCTTGCTCACTCTCTCTCTCAAATAAATAAAATCTTTAAAAAATCCAGTACTATGAAGACTAAACTGTAAGACAGGAAGACAGAAGCAGTGAAAGATGAAGCCACACAGGTAGGCAGGCAGCCGCATGCCACGTGAGGAACCGTGGCTCTTATTCTGTAGGCCAAGGTTTGACTGGGATCCATGGATGGTGGTTTCAGGAAATCCATGAACCCCATGAAACTGCATGAAAAGTTTTCTGGGCATGGGAATTTCCTTTGGGAGAAGGTCCACAGCTTTCATTTGATACTTAAAGGGGTCTGTGACCTAGGAAAAAAAGTTGCAAATGATGGAGAATCTTCGAAGAATTTTGAGAGTGGAGAGACACGATGCTCTGTGCAGATCAGAAAGATCACCATGGCAGCAACACAGAGGAAGCTGGGATAAGATGGCTATCTGGCAGCCTAGGCAAAAATGATGAGGGCCTGGACTGGGAGAGTGGCATTTGGGACAAAACAGAGACACTGGACAAGGAGACACCTAGGAAGCAGAAGCACAGCTAGGTGGTTAGATTTCAACGTGTTGGAGAGCACGATGGAAAAGCCCCAGGAATGACTCAGGTGCAGGATACAACAGTGGTGCGATTAACTGAGCGGAGGCGGGTTTTGAGTCAGGCGGGGGGGGTGCGGATGACACATTCCTATTGGGAGACGTTGAGCTTGAAGTTCTTGCGGGACATCCATGTGGACGTGGAAGAGGCTGTCTCAAGAGAATACGTAGAATCTGAATAGGAAAGGCAAGGAATGGAATGCAGAGGAAAACTAATACTGAAGGAACGGGTAGGGGAAAACGGGAGCCAGGAGGGAGACTAAGGAGGAGCAGCAAGAAAGACAGAAGGAAAACCAGGTCTTAGTGATGTCTTGGAAGCCAAAGGGGGCAGTTTCAAGAAGTTGAAACAGTGCTGAATGCTTCCGATAATTGATCTCCGATAAGAACTGAAAGACTGGGCTTGCCTACAAGGGTCCCTGGTGAGCACTAATGTCAAAGCTCACTTCCACCACCACTGAGGCAAAGCCACATGAAGTCCAGAAGTCTAGACTATTGAAGGGATCAAAACAGAAAAATCTGTGATGGGAAGGGGCTTCTCAGAAGCTTTAGGAAAAGCCTTTGTGTATGAAAAGAACAAAGAGTCAACGCAAAGTCATCAGTGATTTAGGAAAGAGGTATCAAGTCAGTAAGATCAGAACAGAAATGAAACTATTGTTTATTTATTTTCTAGACTTTGAAAAGGCCTGTGGGATTCTCTATGGGATACCTGGAGTTCTGGAATATGAATTTGTAATCTTAAGAAATAACGAACGAAAAAACATTCTTCTGAAATTTATAGGTTGGAATGCTGTTTCCCACTCCCAAACTGAGTAAGGGTAGGGGAGAAAAGATTTAAGAAAAACAAATGACTTAAAAGGTTTTAAGTGTAAAGTAAACAATAGATGGCGGGTAGGAAATATCCAAATCCATGGGGCAGAAAAAAAAATCCCACAAGAAAAGAAGATTCTTTCTCTTCTCTCCTCCCTTTACCTTCTTACCTCAATCCTATCAACCTCCAGAGGCCATCCTTCCTGCCTCTAAGTTGGACAGCTGTTTCCCTAGGAACCAAGTTTCAGGGCTCCCTTCATCGTCCCCTATACCTGCGTCTCAAACCCCCAGTTCCCTAGAAATCACAGACTGGGATGTATACGTAACTTTTATTAGGGAGTCCCAGTAATTCTTTGGGCTCTCCTACTTAACATTACTGGCCTATTCTGGCCCCAGACCAGTCCTGGCCAGGATCTCCTTGGCTGTTCCACGTTGCCCTAAATAACCCTGTGTTTGCAGCTGTCTGACCTATTAGAAGCAAGACGAAGGATAAGATTACAGGCACTACCCAGGGGGTATTCTGGGTACAGCTAGGAGAGGGGCTCTGGAGAACATCAGAGGCACGTACTTTGGAGTTTCTAATTACAGCCTGCAGGGAAGAGGCTTTGGGGAGAACTATGGGTGATGGGTCTCTTAGACATGAGACAAAAAAGACTAATAAATGAGTTGGTCACTACCTTCTTGAAAGCAGATGTTAAAAAGTTTCTTTCTACCTTAACTGAACTTTGAATAGGAAAAAAATATCCTTTAATTCCAACATAAGAAATAAATGTTAGATCTGAATTACACTTCTGAATATGTAATTAAAATTATGAGTCCTAGAACAGCAATCCAGAGAGGTCATCGAATCCCTGTTCGTGTAAACCTTTAAAACCTTTACAAACAGGATAAACAGGCATTTGGAGTGGACCGCCCATCTGAACACAGAGGGCTAGAGCAGACGGCTGAGATCCTTTCCAGCAAACAAGCCAATGTCATAAGGCCAAATATGGTATGACTGAGCAGAGCTGGGGCCATTCCTGGGCTGAAGTGGGAATTAGGATTCGTATCTACTCAGCCCAGCTTCTGAGCTCAGGCTGTCTGCTTTCTGGCCTCTTTCTATTTTAAGAAGTTATGAGCTTTGCTGAACTCAGGGGATGACAGAACTGTGGCCTCTCTGGATTTTACACAGCCCAACCTCACTCTCCCACATGGCCCACAGCCTCTGGGGAAAAATCATTTCTGTGTCCTCCTCTCCCTGGGAAAACTAAAGATCATTAAACCTATCTCTGGGCGGGCCACTGTTGTATTTGAGCTGCTCCCTCAGCTGGGACCTCTCGGCTCTACTTTGAGTTTTCTGCTCTGCTTCTCTGCCTCTCTTACTTTCATCCTGTACCAACTACTCCCATGCACCTGTGATGTTGCGTGCCCTTGCAGTGGGATATTTCCCTCGGGACACTGTGCCTGTCACAGGATCCCACAGGCCTCGGTCTAGCTGGCCCTCCAGAAATCAGCTTATGCTAGCCCCTGCCTCCATGAAGGATGATCTTCCCTTAAAGCAGGTGACAGTCCCTCTAAAATGAGGGTTTCTCGGGGCGCCTGGGTGGCTCAGTCGTTAAGCGTCTGCCTTCGGCTCAGGTCATGACCTCGGGGTCCTGGGATCGAGCCCCGCATCGGGATCCCTGCTCCGCGGGAAGCCTGCTTCTCCCTCTTCCACTCCCCCTGCTTGTGTTCCTTCTCTCACTGTGTCTCTCTCTGTCAAATAAATAAATAAAATCTTAAAAAAAAAGAGGGTTTCTCTGCTCAGGATCAGAAGCTGGAAGGGCTCTGCTGCTCTCAGACCCAAGTTAAATCCTAGGTCTCTCTCTCTATCTCTTTTTTTTACCTCTTTCCCTCTCCAGAGAGCCCTTCTTTTTCATAATTTCCTAACTTCATATACCTCCCTTGGATTTTTAGCAGGCTCTTGCTTCACTTAATCCAATTTCACAAGCTACCCTACAAAGGTTTTAGGGTCAACACTCAGAGTTTACGTAGCAAGGGATTCTTTCAAGGAGAGAACAGGGAAGCAAGAGAAGCTGCGCATTCCTAATCTGGCCACTCCTGAACTCAGACTTCTCTGCCCTCCTCCCTAAGCATCCTTGTCCTAGCATTCTCGTGTTCATGGTATATACCACAGGTGTAACTCAATAAACATTAGTTTAAAAACATATTTAAAGTCTAGATTTACTAATGAGAAGGATCATAAGAGCAAAGACGACATGTGACCCTTTCATCGATGTATCCTTAGTGCCCACCATCCTGCTCGCTACACAGATGCTCAATAATTCCCTTTGCATTTAATTAGGAATACGTTTATTTAGCACTTACTACATACCAGGCACTGTTGAAGCAAGAATCCATTCAATGAAGAGTTCGGTTTCTTGAAATCTACCTTGTCTGGGAACCCTTCCCTGGTTAATCCTACCAAGGCCTAGCATTTCATTATATACGTGGGTTCTACTGGGCTAAGGACACTTGATTATTGTTATTTATGAGCCTTACATAAGAACTCTAGGAATGTATGTTATCTCTCCTCCTAAAACTACATATTCCCCAAGGAAATCAACTTCTTCACAACATACAGGACAGGGCTCTAAACAAAGTGGGTGCTTAACACGAAGTCTAGGAAGCCTAGGGAGAGCGGAGTAGAGCGAAGGGGACACTGGCTGACATGTCTTTCCTTCTCTCTTTTTCCCAGCACAGTGTCCATGTCCTGGTGTCCCTCTGCCTCTCTTCAAGGTATTATAAACTAGAATATACAAGACCATCAAAGGAGAAAAAAAAAAAATCACACGTTCCCTATCTCCCACTTCATATTTCCACACACCTGATTTTCCTGACTTCCAGGTTTCTGGGACTCAACCCAGAAAGGGGTTCCCTCTGCCCTTGCTCTCGGCCCACACCCTGCCGACCCCGCCCTGTGGGTCTGTACCAATTAACTGTTCCTGTTTGTTGGAGGGCTGGAGGACTGCAAGAGAAGGAAGAGGCCGGAGAAGAGAGAGAACGAAGCAGAACTGTGCCTAGTAAAAGGAAATGCCTGTCAAAGAGTGAGGTGCCGGACCCGGGTCAGTGCAGGAACTCTACAGACATCAGAGGCAAAACCTGAGGCTCTGGCTACAGCCCACCAAATCCCAATTCTGGTCCCTCCCTTTCCCCACTGCTTCCAATGTGCTGGAAGTGAATCCACCCACTGCTTTCTCAACAACTGCATCTCTTTAGTCTCTTTCTAATGTAGCTTGAGGAAACACCTGTCTTTTAGGTACCAAAGGACCCAAATGGACCCAAATCTTCAGAAAAACCTGGAAAGAAGTTTTATAAAGATTTGAGTAAATCAGAGCAAACAATATCCAGAAGCACTTGGGGACTTGGACCTGACAGAGATTTGGGGGAAGGCCCAGGATTCCAACGTGAATCTATAGCAGGAAGACATTAAGGAGGATAGTCTTGTTCTACAGGTGAGGGGAGTCAAGAAACTCAAGGGGGCCCACCAGCCATGTTTTTTGTCCCTCCCCAAGCAGGGCCTTCCTCCTTACCTTGGGCATCTCCACCGGAGGTTAACACGGCGATGGCTTTGCCGATCCCCAGGGTTTTGGCTGCATGGTGCTCTTCATGGGTCATGATCCACTCTAGAATTCAAGGGAACGACCCGTTAAGACACAGGTAGATCGAGGTGCTCGGGAAATGGCTGTTAGACTGGTGAGAGCCACCTCAGTCAGGCTCTCTGAGTATACTAAGTCTGGGCTTTACAGCTTGGGTGCTTTGGACTTCTTCCAGAAGAGGGCCACAACCCTGCAGAATGACAAGCTGAAATGTCACAGTAATCAAACCCAACACCGCAAAGGTCTTGGCTAACCCCTCCCACCTCAATTGGAGCCTATTTGGAGAACAAGCTAAGGTCAAGGGGAAGGGCAGCTGACTGACCAGAAATGAGAAAGGAGGGAGGAAAGTTAAGTTAGCCTCAAGGATTCCTCCCTTTTATGAAGGGAAGGGCTGCTGCAGATGGTAGGAGTCGGATGAGGTCTGGGGCACTGACCGGACACCAGCAAAGTGGAAGCAGAAAAGCGAGGGTAGGCTGGGTTACGGGGAAGATTAGGGTTCAGTTGTATGGAATTGGGCTAAGCTGGAACTGGAGTTTGAGGTTTTACATGCACATCTGAGCTTGTGCAAATCAATGGTTCAGGCTCAGGAACGGTTAAAAGACATTCTACGGCTTCTCCCATCCTCTCAGGCTCCCTGCCTCCTGAGCATCTCTTGACTCATCTTCAGGCCCTGTGCCTCACACGCCATGCTATCAGGTGGGAAGAGCAACAGAATCACGGCCACATATACATAGATATGGACACATGACATGTGACCACGTTCCTATTTTTGTCTGCAAGGCTAATCTATCTCTCTCACAGGAACACACAAGACACACTTTTATATCCTTAAAATGTCAATGGAATCATCACTCTCCCAGTTACCCAGGCGAAAACCTAAATTTTTAAATTTATCTCCTCCTTACTCTCAGAGTCAAAATGGTTACCAAATCCTATTCTTCCTTCTATTGTCCCTTACCCTTCTCTTCTTGGGATCCTCACAGCCTCTCTCTACCCGAATTGCCTACAATAGCTGCTCCCCCTCTGTTTGTTTCCCTCTCCACTCTATCAGAGACACAAAACAAGCCCCACAGGAAGGTCCCCGGACCCTGGGGCCTCAGTGGAGAGAGGATGCATTCACTTAGGAACGGGGGCTGATGACCTTTAAGCACAGCTCCTGTTTCTGCTGTCAATCTGGGGAAATCGGGGAAGCTGGTGACAAAGACATAGGTCACATAAACACACAAATCTGTATATGTGGCAATAAAATACATGCAATGGGACACTCATGAAGACATACATACACAAACACACATAGTATTATTAGGGGACACAGGTTCTCAGACATACTACACATAATCCGTGCTGACTGACTTCTTGGGTTGGCAGTCAAAGCTTCCATGATCTAGCCCTTGCCTAGCGCTTCAACTTTTGCTCCCGTGAGTTTTCTACTCCATCATCACCTGAACATTACTTTGCTCCTCCCCATGTGTGTACTTGGGCACACTGCATCCTGCATCCAGAAGGCCACCCTGGCCCTTCCACAGATCGATAGCCCACTCTGTCATTTAAGACCAGTCCTAGTCGCAACCCTATTAACATTAAGTCTATTAAGCCTTCACTGACGACCACAGGTCAAGGAGAGTTTCTTTTTGGACCTCCTCTCATCACATATTGTCTGGTACTGGATCATTCATTTAGCATTTAATCACCACTTTATGTGGTATTTATTTTAACTTATTATTTATTTGAAAGAGAAAGAGAGCACAATGGGGAGGGACAGAAGGAGAGAGAGAATCCTGAAGCCGACTCCCTGCTGAGTGCAGAGCCCATCTCGGGGCTCAATCCCAGGACCCTGAGATCATGACCTGAACCAAAATCGAGAGTCAGCTGCTTAACCAGCTGAGCCACCCAGGTGCCCCTATGTAGTATTTAAAATTGCTTCTTATATATTGAAAAGAAGGTCAGGCTAGATCAGGGGTCAGCAAACGATATAGCACACAGACCAAATCCAGCCCTTTTTATGGTTTTGTAGGGCGGCAAACTAAGAAAGGTTTTTACATTTTTAAATGTTGAAAAAACAATTTCACGACATGTGAAAATTACATGAAATTAAAATTTCAGCATCCATACTACTCTCATTCTTTCACACATCATCCTATGGCTGCTTAGATTATGGTGACAGAAACCAGATAGCCAGCAAAGACTGAAATATTTACTATCTGACCTTTTACAGAAAGCATTTGCAGACCCCAGGATAGATTATTGCTGTAAGCCATCTTCCCTAACTAGACTGAACAATCCTCCAGGGAGGGATCATGTTCATTTTTTAAAAAACTCTCCACAGCTTACCAAAGCCTGGTGAAGTCTATGCACATAACAGTTCAATAAATCCTTGTTGAAAGCATTAGGGAACTAACAAACAATACGAAATGCACACAGACATATGAAAACTTTTATTTAATATGCTTGGATACAAACATAGCTCCATATTCTAACACATAAGAAAGCATATAATGACAAACAGCAAAAGGAATACAATAAACACACATGGACAGACACTCTCCTACTAACTAGCATGCTCAGGTCCAAATTTCTACTGTTCTCAAAAAAAAAAAAAAAAAGACTAACTGGTGCAAATAGGAAGGCGAAAATCTGGGAACGGAAGAACAAAACGTGAGTATGCTGATCCCATTTCCCTTGATTTTTTCCTCTCATTCAGTCTGGGAACTCATCACTTACAAACCCACACAAGGATCTTTCACCCCTGGGGGCTTCAGTGAGGGAGAGAATTCACCATAACAAGGGGGAAGGTTAGGAGTGCTGACCTGCAAAAAACAGCTCAGATTCTTCTCCTGCATCTCTAAACCAGTTATAGAGGCACAGGATACAAAAATGTACGCAGATTCATCTATAAACATCCTTATAGATTCACAGTGACACACACATAGACATACAGACATAAAATCTAAATATAAAATCACATGTGTGTAGATACGCACGCGGGAGGGAGAATTACAGGGAGGCAACATCATAGGTGCACGGATTTGAATTGGATGAGTGCCAGGATAGGAGTCGGGCAGCAAAGGGCAACGAGGTCCGAGCACCACTCACCCATCCCTGATTGTCAGGGATGGGGGCTGTGCGTGCAAGCAGAGGGAGATGAGCCAAAGGTCTAGGATTCTTCACGACGGCCCTACCCATCCCCCCTCTTCCCTCCAGCTTCTTGTGCCATACCACCTCTGCTTTTCCCGTCCGCTCCTTCCAGTTCTCCCCACCGCCTCCTCCCAGCACGGTCATCCCCACCTCGCTCTCGGCTTTCCCCCTGGGCCTTTATCCAAGAGCCCCTCTTGCCTTTTAGTCTTAGCGCTCCTCTGCCACGGCTTCCTCGCAGACTGTCCTTGGGGAAGGGGGAGGGGAGCTTGGCGAACGCGGGGAGGAGCCAGGTGGAGGCAACGAGGGAGGGGAAAGAGATGCTTCCCAACCTCCACTGGCTGTTGCTGGCCCGGAGGCTCCGCCTCCTCCCTCCCCTCTTTCTCCTCCTCTCGCTCCTTCGCCCAAGGACAGCTCAGATATGGTATCCGCTTGTTCTCTTCACTCCCCAGAAGGTTCTCGGGTCCCCATCTCTGTCTTGGGAGCAATCAGCTCCTACACACAGTGGAAATCAGAAATTATTTAGTTGCCTCCCAGGTTGTCCGCCGAGACAACTTTTTCCTAGCTGGGACTGACTGAGGCTCCTTGCATTCAAACACCCTCCACAACTAATAAACCTCCCCCTCTGGCCTGATGCATTGTCTCCCACCTCTTTCACTCTTTAAACAAACATTTATGGAAAGTTTTGGTGCCAGGTTTTGTATTAGGTGCTGAGGGATGAAAAGATAAAGGAAATAGAGTCCCTGCCCTGGGGGAACGTTGAACACTGGTATTTTCTTTAGAGGGACCTCAAAACTCCTTTTACATGTATGTACCTTTCTCAGAGAAAATACAGGGCTACAAAGCAAACAGCGTGCCCCGCGGGAACCTGGGCCAAGTACTCCCAGGGCTAAAGGTGCCTCTTTTCCTTGATCCTCTTCATTCCTTCCTCTCTCCACCCAGGGCTTTGTGGCAATGTCTCTCCAGAGGCACCTCTCCTCTCCTGGCTCTTTCTACTGCCCTTCCTCTTACTTACTTTTGTTTCTGCCTCTGCCTATTCTGGCTGCAAACAATAAGAATACAGATGAAGCCATTCGAATACACAAAAGTAACTTTTGTGATGCAAATGTTACCAACAAAAGACAACCTGTAGACCAGGAGAGAATATTTGCAAATCATATATGTGATAAGGGACTGGTATCCAGAATATATAAATAATTCTTGCCATTTAATAATAAAAGGATAATAACCCAATTTAAAAATGGGCAAAAAGTCTGAACAGATACCTCACCAATGAAACTATACAGATGGCAAATAATCATATAAAATGATGCTGAGCATCAGACGTCATTTGGGAACTGTAAATTAAAGCAGTGAGATACCACTACATATTATTAGAATGGCTAGCATCCAAAAAACAAACAAACAAACAAAAAACTTGACAGTACCAAATGCTGACAAGAATGTAGAGCAACAGGAACCCTCATCTTTCGTTGGGAATGCAAAATAGTACAGTCACTTTAAGAGACAGTTTCTTACAAAGCTAAATATAGTCTTATTATATGATCCAGCAACCACACTCCTCTAAGTATTTACCCAAATGAGCCAAAAACTAGATGCACACAAAAACCTGCACACAAATGTTCATAACAGCTTATTCATAATTGCCAAAAACTGGAAGCAACCAAAATATCCCTCAAAAGGTGAATGGATAAATTGTGGTATATCAATTCAATGGAATATTATTTAGCAATAAAATGAAAGGACCTATCAAGCCAAGAAAAGACATAGAGGAAACTTAAATATATATTGCTTAGTCAAAGAAGCCAGTCTGAAAAGGCTACATACTGTATGATTCCAACTAAATGACATTCTGGAAAAGATAAAACTAGAGATAGTAAAAAGATCAATGGTTGTCAAGGGCTTGGAGTAGAGAGGGAATGATAAATAGGTGGAACACAAGGGATTTTTAGGGCAGTAAAACTACTCTCCATGAGGGCGCCTGGGTGGCTCAGTTGGTTAAGCGACTGCTTTCGGCTCAGGTCATGATCCTGGAGTCCCTGGATCGAGTCCCGCATCGGGCTCCCTGCTCGGCAGGGAGCCTGCTTCTCCCCCTGACCCTCCCCCCTCTCATGTGCTCTCTCTCTCTCATTCTCTCTGTCTCAAATAAATAAACAAAATCTTTAAAAAATAAATAAATAAATAAATAAACAAATAAATAAAAACTACTCTCCATGATGCTATAATGCTGGATACATGACATTGTGTATTTGTCAAAACTCATAGAACTTACAACACAAAGAGTGAACCCTAATGTAAACTATGGACTTTAGTTAATAATAACGTATCAATATTGGCTCATCAATTTTAACAAATGTACCCCACTGATGCAAATTGTAATAAATGGAAACTGACCACAGGAGAGGAAACTGTGCAGACAGTCTGCTCAATTTTCTGTAAGCCTAAAACTTCTCTAACCAACAAAGTCTACTAATTTTAAAAAACATACTCTGTTCAATGAAATATCTAATAAAATTGTAATATTAAAAAACAAAAAAAAATGGGCAAGTGTTTAAATAGACCTTTTTTCTAAATAAAATATACAAACAACCAATATGCACTCAAGAGATGTTCAGCATCACTAATCAGTACAGAAATGCAAATCAAAACCACAATGAGATTCCACTTCACACCTATTAGGATGACCATCACAAAACAAACAAACAAAAACAAAAATGGAAAAAACAAGTATTGCAGAGGACCCGGAGAAACTGGAACCCTGTGTATTGCTGGTATAAATGTAAAGTTATCTAGTCACTATGGAAAACAGTCTGGCAGTCCCTCATGTTAAACAGAGTTACCATATGACATAGCAATTCCACTCCTACATATACAGCCAAGGAAAATGAAAACATATGTATACACACACACGTACACCAATGGTCACAGCAGCTTTATTCATAATAGGCAAAAAGTGGAAAGAGGCCAAATGTCTATCAACTGATGAAGGGATAAATACAATGTGGCATGTCCATACAATAGAATATTACTTGGCAATAAAAAGAACAAAGTACTGATACATGCTGCAACATGGATGAACCTTAAAAACATGATGCTAGGTGAAAGAAGCTATTCACAAAAGACCACCTACCATATGATACCATTTATATGAAATGTCCAGAATAGGCAAATCTATAGAGACAGAGAGCAGATTAGCAGTTGCTTGGGGCCATGGGGAAATGAGGGGTGACTGCTAAGGAGGACAGGATTTCTTCTGTGGGTGATGGAAATGTTCTAAACTTAAAGTGACTGCAAAACCCTATGAACATACTATATTCCATTGAATTGTAGGCTTTCATTGTAGTGAAGTTGAGCTTATCAATTGTAGTTGGCCCTTGAATAACGTGGGTGTTAGGATCATTGACCCCCATGCAGGCAAAAATCTGTGTGTAAATTTTGACTCCCCAAAAACTTAATTACAGTTCACGCTCGAATGACATGGGTTTGAACTGCATGGGTCCCCTTGTGCATAGTTAATTGTTACTACTATTAGTAGTTAAGTTTTAGGGGAGTCAAAAATTAATATGCTGATTTTCAACTGCACAAGAGGTTGGTGCCCTGAAGCCCCATGTTGTCCAAGGGCCAACTGTATTCCCAGCCTATTGTTGACTGGCAGCTTTACCAATAACATAAACAGTTGATTGACATGTATTTTGTATGTTGCATGTATTGTATACTGTATTCTTACAATAAATTAAGCTAGAGAAAAGAAAATGTTTTTAAGAAAGTCATAAGGAATACAAAGTATGTTATAGTACTGTAGAAAATCTGTGTATATGTGGACTTCCATAGTTCAAACCTGTGTTGTTCAAGGGTCCACTATTTCTTTCATGAATAATATCTTTGGTATTGTATCTAAAAGGGCATCACCAGGGTGCCTGGGTGGCTCAGTTGGTTAAGCGACTGCCTTCGGCTTAGGTCATGATCCTGGAGTCCCTGGATCGAGTCCCGCATCGGGCTCCCTGCTCGGCAGGGAGTCTGCTTCTCCCTCTGACCCTCCCCCCTCTCATGTGCTCTCTCTCATTCTCTCTCTCTCAAATAAATAAATAAAATCTTTAAAAAAAATAAAAATAAAAAATAAAAGGGCATCACCATACCCCAAGGTCACCTAGGTTTTGTCCTATGTTATCTTCTAGGAATTGTATAGTTTTGCATTTTACATTTAAGAGCTATAAAAATAAATTTACATTTACATCATATGAGATATTGATCTGTAGTATTCTTTTATTTTAATGTCTTTGTCTGGTTTTGGTATTATGGTAATGCTGGCCACATAGAATGATTTAGAAGTATTTTCTCTGCTTCTATCTTCTGAAAGAGATTGTAGAAGACCGGCAAAATCTCTTCCTTAAATGTTTGACAGAATTCACCAGGAATCTATCTGGGACTGGTGCTTTCTTTTTTGAAAGGTTATTAATTATTAATTCAATTTCTTTAACAGATTTAGGCCTATTCAGATCACCTATTTCTTCTTGTATGAGTTTTGACACATTGTGTCTTTCAAGGAATTGGTCCATTTCATTTAGGTTATTAAATTTGTGGGCACAGATTTGTTCATAGTATTCTTTTATTATCCTTTTAATTTCCCTGGAATCTGGAGTGATGTCCCCTCTTTTATTTCTGATAGTAACAATTTGTGTCCTCTCTCTTTTTTCCTTAGTTAGCCTCATTAAAGGCTTATAGGTTTTATTGATCTTTTTGAAGAACCAGCTTGTGGTTTCCTTGATTTTTTTTTTCCTTTCCAGTTTTATTGATTTCTGTTCTCATTCTTTTCTCCCCGCCCCCCTTGGGGGAGGGAAGGTCAGAGGAGGAGGGAGAGAGAGAATCTTATGCAGGCTCCACACCCAGTGGAGAGGCAGACACAGAGCTTGACCCCATGACCCTGAGATCATGACCTAGGCCAAAATCAAGAGTCGGGTGCTCAACCGACTGAGACACCCAGGCATCCCAATTTCTGGTCTAATTCTTTTTTTTTTTTTTCTGGTCTAATGCTTATTGTCTCTTTTTTTCTACTTTGGATTTAATTCGCTCTTCTCTTATAGTTTCCCAAGTTGGAAACTATATTATTGATTTTAGACCTTCTTCTCTTATACATGCATTTCAGTGCTATAAATTTCCCTTTAAGCACTGCTCCCATGGCATCCAACAAATTTTGCTAAGTTGGGTTTTCATTTTCATTTAGTTCAAAATATTTTTAAATTTCTCTTGAGATTTCTTTTTTGACCTATGTGTTATTTATGTGTTGTTTAATCCTCACATATTTGGG